TAACATGGAACAAAGTGGCTTGTATCCAGTGTCAGACATTTGTATAAGTAGCACATGCCCTCACAGTTGGAATCAATGTTTGCCATTGATAGATTGGGAAGGATAAATTATGGTATGGCACTAGGTCCACATGATCAGAGGAAGTCAGGTACCTTGTGAAAATCTCACTTCTCTCTCAAAATCCAAAAGTTCTTCTAAGATTTATAGCAAGGAAAGTAATAATGATATTATAAAGGAATACAAAAAAAGGTATTAATATGAATAACCACACAAGCACACGCAAAAAAAAGCAAACCAGCCAGTGTAGAGCACCATAGTGATGTTATTAACAGAGAAATGCCATGGACATTTCCGTCTACGACCTGTTCACAGCAGCCATTCTGATGTGATTTCTCTCCTATTTCCTGATAAAAATTAGTAGCAACTGGTTCTAATTTAAAACCTCCCTACAAGATGAGTTTTCACATAATACGAAAAGAATGACATGAGACCAAGTATATTTGACAAGAAAACAGCTTCCATTGCGAAGATGTTGGGTTACCCACAAAACCAAGCCTGTGCAGAAGCTTGCAGAGCTTCATGCAAACCAAGTGTGCAAAGTGCAAATACAAGAAGAATGAAATAGCATTAACTGTAGTGACAGCATAAATTAGAATGATTATTTTAATCATACTATTGGCCTCAAAACAACTGCAGCTTAGATGCCATTTTAGATTAAGGTTTTTATTTGATGGATAAAACTGAAAATGGCCAACTTTTCTGAGGGAGTCAGCAAATCCTGAACTCTTTCTTATTTTAAAGTACTTGAGAGTGGCTCAGATAATCAGAAAGAATGCAACAGACCAGTAATCTGTCGCAGCACAGAAGTGACAGATACGTACTCTAAATCCAGATTTTCTGGACAGTTAACTGGTTTTCTGAGCACAGACAATTTGTAGTTAACAAAAACTATCTTCTTTGTACAATAGCAGTGACTACTTAACAGACATTTTAAAATTAAAATCAAATCAAAATGGTGTTTAGCACACACATTTGCCAACTGCTTTATACAGCAAATTGCACCATCTGAATATTTAAACATCCCTCTTTTTCTCGGTGTGCAGAAAACACAGTTTCAGAACAGAACATTTTGAACAGAAACTAGAACTCTCAGCCACCAGTGCTCCAGCTGATGATGGCTCTCCCTTTAGGGCTGTACCTTGCCTAATCCATCCCGCTTCAGTGATCTACCCCAAGGGCCCTGGGGATGAGGTAAAACCCATGCTCAGGGGGTGTATGCCTCCTCCTTGCCATCCAGCAGGCTCATTACGTCAAGGGAATGTTACTACTCTGCAACAGATGCCTATGAGTGGAGTGGCCAGCAGAACAGCTCTACACAGACCTAAATCTTCTGGTGTATATGCTTATTACTGTAGGAACATAACATCGATCAAGGGTCCCACCTGACCCTGCACCTTGTCTCCAATGGTATCCATAAGCAAACACTCAGAACACACGATGAACAGGATGAGTACTGAACAATCTCTTCCAAAGCACACACTGTGTCTCTACCTGCTTTCAGTCAAAGGGATTTCCTGAACCAGTTAATGTTTCTGGTAATTCAGTGGCCTCCAAAGCACTTCTCATCCAATCACTTAGTTGCACCCAAAAGAAATTCTGGACAAAATTCAAGGAAGTGGACACTAGGCAGACAAGCTGAAGCAAAGCTTGTGGTATGTGGTAAAAGCACAAAATGCAAAAATTGGAAAAGTGAGAAGTTTGCCATCAGGGTTCCTTGCAATGTGAAAAGTTGGCTTGTCTTCAGAACTTGGAGTATTTTTAGACCAAAATGAAATGTAGATAGAAACATTATTCCAAGAAGCAAACTGTCAGCAGCATCAAAAGCAACAAAAGAACCAGCTGGAGCTACATAAATGTAACTTTTGATCCCATATAACTATTAAAAACTTCTGACTGGTTATATACATGAGAAACTAAAGGGACACTGACCCAGCACCAACCAGTTCCTTGCTATCCTAGCTTTTCTGATTCTATATGCATTGCAATAGCTAGCGTAAACAATATCATTGCTTTTCTTTCCCTCTTTAACTGCTCTGTCTGAACTTATCCTTTCATCAGAAGTTATTAATAAAAATGTACTAGAAATATACTAGTGAAAAACCTTGTTTCTACCCTATCTTACATACTTCACAGCTCAACTGAACATTTAATCTGAGCCATGGTATCAAGTCATGCTGCATCACCGTATAATAGATTCTTATAAATTGTGTGATTAAAATAAACAAGTCATACATCATGCAGACAGGACAAACTATTCAAGTCAGTTTACCAAAATTACACACCTAATCCCTAATTTGTCTTGTTTTAGTGACTTGGTTTAACATTCAGAGGTGCAGATTATCAGATTGCTCTCCCTGAATTCAGTTGCAGTCCTTACAGCAGAGCGGTTAAGTTACTTGTGGGTAACTCCATTTAAAAAGACATAAGCAATTAATTTTGGATACAAACAAATGAAACTTAGTATTTCCTCTCTGCAGAGGGGAATTCATACACTTTGTGACCTTCATTATCACTCAGTAATTACGTAAAGCTGCTTCTTCCAAAGATATGACCTTTTGAGAAAATCAGAGTTTGAGATTTATGAGAACTTGCTACACAGACTACTTTGTGGTCATCACTGATCCTATTTGAGATACTTGCTTTCCTTTTCTTTTATTGCTCCCATTTGCTGCCTTTCACTATCACAGCCTAGTAGCTGTGATTTCCTATGACCTTGAGGATCTTCAAAATACTATTCCTTGCTTTCAGCATGTGACTGGTAAGCAAGAGAGCAGCCTGGCTCACAACTCAGCCACATGCCTGAAAGACCCCAGAAAAGTCAGCTCCCTGCAACTCCTTCCTGTTGGATGACTGTCATGGGAGCTGCCACTCATGAGGCAGCTAAAAAGCAGCTGGAGATGTGCATTTGTTGGATTTGGGTCAAGGCCAGGATTGCAAGTCAGGGATAGAGAGGGAGGCTGTATGAGTGCCAAGAAGCAGGGGCGCTATTATCCCATGAGAGCAGAACATTCACTACCAGCTTTTGTAACGCCTGTGGGGCTGAATCAAGCTGCCTCTTCTTCTTCTGAGATTTGCAACCTATAAATCATGAGTAGGCCAAGTAGCTCATCGTCCTGGGCAACTGTGTTGCCCTGAGCGAACAGGAGGCATGCAGCAAATGAATGCAACACGAAGTCCAGACTCAGGGGTAAGCCAGAGCTCAAATCCTGTTAGTTGGTGCGGTGACAAAAGTTATTGGCAAAGAGCTGCTGTGTTTTTGCACCTCCCTGGTGCTAGTTTGCTCATTAAGTAGAGGACAGAAATAAAAGTTGTTCTTGACTCTGGAGGCAAACGGTGGGGGGAGGAAGGGGATGGATGCTTCCAAGTCCTCCATGAAGCTGACTGCATTACTATGCTTTTATCTTACATTTTGACAGGAAAACAAAAAAGTGCATGACACAAGAAATTACTTTCCTTTAAGAAGCAACTTAAAGATGCTGGTTTTAGTTCCATCTCTTAAAGTTACTTTTTCTCCTTATCTGTGGCATGGATGGCTTCCCACTAGATACAAAAAGGACTCTTCTGCTGCTAACACAAAGCTCCTATTTTAGGATGAGCTTACATAAAAGCTCCTCCATTTGCAAGCCCTCCTTCCCTCCAAGCAGATATCTCCAGTAATTATGCTTCACTTCATCTTTAAAGCCCACCTACCGTCTGCACAAATCAAGATTAGCAAGATGGTTCGTGTGCTCGGGGTAGTGGAGGAATGTGAACAGTAACACACTGGGAATCGAGCAAAGCCTTGATGAGAAAAGCTAACCATTCAGGATTTATATGCAGCAGTTGAGTCCAGGCAGGGATTGGTCAGAAATAGCCCCACTGTATGACTCAGGTGGATAACAGGAACAGGCAGCTTCACAGGGAACAGCAGACACATGGGAAAGATGTTTTGCTAGAGGCTGACCTCTAGGTAAGTAAAGCTAATAAAAAAAGACACCCTTTTAGAGAGCAACAATCTGATTTCTACTTTCACCAAATCATGATCTCCTATGCAACAAAGAGAGTGCAAGAGACTGGACTGCTGGCACCACTGTGCCAACTTACAGCTCCACCACAGGTAAGGGAAGCCCACACTCATCCACTTCAACTGGATGGCATGAATTCTTGTTTCACCAGTTCACATGCTGCTCATAGCATTTTCACTTGAGCATCAGCATGACAGTCAAAAATCAGCGGCATGTTTTGCAAAGATAGGACAGTGCACCTGGGTGCTCTCTCCCTATAGTCAGAGCAGTCGGGGTGCATTTTGTATTGTATGGAATAACACAAGAAAGCAGCACTACATCGGTGTAAACAAGGATACAGGCAAGGCCAGAGAATAATTGTGCTACAATGCACTTGTCTAAATATGAGAACAAAATGTTTCAATTACAAGTGTAACACCTGGCACTTAAACCAGATCCAGGCAAAACAAAAGCAAAGAAACAAACAAAAAAATCAATCAGATAAATTAAGGCAAACTAACCATGCAAAATGCATTAACTTGTAGGAATTCATTTTACAGTTTTTATGGTTATGAGTAGACTTTAAGAAAGGCCAGCTTAGACTCTTCAGCACAGCACACAAAATAAATAGCACTCAATCAAGTACAAAAGGCATCCATAAAATTTCATTAGTAGTACTTAAATCTAACAGCAGACTGAGAGACTCACAGTTTAGGGCTACTGTGACACTTAGAAATTAACTCCTCATTTCATCTCTATCCCAGACAGGAGAGCTCATCCAGCAGTTCCCTCATTTTGCCTTAAAACTTGCACGTACATAGCCCAGCTATTTTCAAAGTAATAATTTGTCTGCATTTAAAGATTTGAAGTCCATAAAGATCCACTGCATCCTCTGGAAAACTGTTCCAATGACTAATGTATGCCTATAAAAAAAATAAAAATGCAAGAAAAGCATACCTTGTCTTCATGTTGAACTCCTCTAAATTCAGCTTGTAGCTTGTAGCCTTTGTTATAGAGTTTCTGAAAACTGAAAGAAAAAAAAAAGAAAAACAACAGAAACTATTAGTATCTGGTAGCTCCTTCTCCAATGAAGTGAATATGAAGTATGTACACCTCAGGATCACGTCTTTTAGCTTTCTCTTGAGTGGGTTCAATCCCCAGAACTTGCTGAGCATCTCACCAAAGGCAATTTATGAAGAGCCTTACTGACTTTTGCCAAGAATAGGACTTTTCATTAAGAATGACCAGAAACCAACTACTTTCTTTCTCCACCAAGAGTAATGGCCTGTCTTAAAGTTTTGTATCCGCTTAAAAAAATAACAGGTCAAAGGAGGATTTGGAAAAGGGATTTTTCTGGAGAAGAGCCCAGGCCAGTGTCCTAGGGTAGAAGACAAGGCTTGAGGAAGAGATAAAACAAGAGAAAACTAAAAAAGTGACAGTGTAGATAAGAAAAAGAGAGGCACACTAAATCTAGGAAACTTTTTTTGGTACCCACAGTCAGGCAGTCTGAACTACACACACCCCAAAAGCAGGGCTGTTGATTGCTCTGGAAGGTAACGGGGGTCACAGGTTTTCATTTTATCTGACACCCACCCTCCTCCAGAGGAACCTTTGCTGTAAACATTGCATCAAACCAATACATTTCAGCAAAAAAAGTTGTTTTGACAAATCACTACTTTGCGGTGAAAGAAAAATTCTCAAAAGGCTCCTATCCAAGCACAATTAGCAAAAGCCAGCTACTCAGTTTTTAAAAAAGTTTGATATCACACTTTTTTTGTTCCAACCAAACCTGGCAAAAACATTCCTTTACATAAATTAGCACAAAATCCACATTTGCCAAGGCAAAAATATTCCGTTATTTTTAAAAGGAGGATGAAGAAAATACGGTAAAATTATTAAATTATTTATTGCCAAAATAATGCTGTTTTCTTGGGTTGTCTGAGGGGCATGGCTCATCAACTGATGGAGAAGATGTTATGTGGTTTTCCAGTGATCATCACAAAGCTAACAGAACACTATGCAATGTCCGAAAAAGAAAGACAAAACCAAACAGCCTGAAGAATTAAGCATCTCTGTGCTTTCCAGTCTGCAGTAATCTGTTTTGCAGGCTTTAATGGGTGGGCGGTGATGCCTGCAAGTATTATCAAAGCCCTCAGGGGTGGTGCAGGATGCCACATATTTAGGTGCCCAGTTGTGAATTTGGGAGCTTTATAATACTCACCTCTTCTGCAAACTCCAGTCTCAAAATCCACATCACGTTCCGGAATCCTGCAAGAAACAAAAACAAAACAGCACATTTACTTGATGAGCACCTCTACCATCACTAAGCTTGATGTTTCTGCACAACATTGTTTTGCACAGTCCTCCTTCATCTACACCTTTTGTGCTCTCAGCCTTACATCTTAACCAAATTACATTTCCTATTCCCAGTAAATATCATCAATCCAATTGCAATTTTTCTGTGCTCACATGACCTGATGGAGGGATTTCCTAAACATAAAGAAGCCAAGTACTAGGATCAATCCTTATGAAATATTGCCTGCTTTGAAATCCCTATCACTGTATCCCAGATTCACCTTCTGAAACTTTCTTCTCACGCCCACACTGGAATAAGCAAGCCACTAACTAAGACACATTCAAACTGTGCTGCTTCCTGTGCACTCATTTTCTGCAGGATGGATTTTCAAAACTTTTCTCCACATTAGAAGCCTATTATCACTTCTGGACATGACCCCGCATCACTGGACTTCAGTTTCCAACAGAACAAGTCAGAGAGACAGTATGTGATCATTTAAAAATGCTCACAGTGGCCAAACTCAATTTGCAAAAGCAGGGAAGAAAATTAAGTCACATTAATTTTTACTGACATGAGCTAATTTATGGAGATTTAAAATCATGAATGTGAAAAAGGATAAAAGAATGCAGAATTAAATTGAAGTTTTGCTGTAGCTGAGTACTGAACAGAAAGTTGTGGTTACTGGGCTCTGTTTTAATTTAAGTCCTTTATAGGATTGCAGGCCTACCTTTGGCAAGATACCTTCTGCTCCCCATTACTGTGCAATAGTCATAAATCCTATCTTCCACTAACTCCTCTCAGACCAAAAATTCCCCAGAGTAGTAGTCATGCCAGTATGATTGTACAGCACCAAATATAATAGTATCTTGTCCACTTTAGACAACAGTGGAACATAATTATAAACAACAGTGAAAACCCAGTGTGATGTTCCACAACTCCTCCCAAAAGCATCATCAAATGCAAAGATCTCAGGCCTACTCAGAAAAGCTTTAATTTTCAGCACAGAGCACTCCTCAAGGCCAACAAATACATGCCGACTTAGAAGTCTGCATCCTTGTGAACCTTGCCAATGATGGCCATGCTGGCAGCAAGAAAGAACTTGTTCCCCTACTTGGGGAGCAGAGCCCAGTATGGTGCAAAGACACCTTGGTCTTTCTCAGGGAAATCCTTTTTTCTTCCCCAAAGCATGTATCCTCTATCTCAGTGAATGGTCCTCTATGGTCTCAGTGAATATAAGTCCTTCCAGACCCAAGAAGGAAATGAGCATGAATTAACTGATCCTCACCTATGGACTTCAAGTGCCAAAGAGCAAGAAGGATATCATCCAGTAGCAGATGGAAAACAAGAGATTTGTTTCTGAGCTTGGGAACCCTTTTATTTTTTACGCAAATCTCATGAGATCACTGTGCTAACAGAAAGGATTTTTATTAGATCTAGTAAGTCACAGTAGTGTCATAAGAGTGAAAAATATTAATCGACAGAGTATGAAAGTAAGGAAGAAGGGTGAATTGGAAGCAATTACAAAATGTTAATTTGTCAGCAAAGGAACAACTTTTTAAGGGAATAACAATATAAGGGTGACAAACACAAAAAGAATAAGAACCATAGCACGAGCTTACCAAAGAGAGATCATACAAGAATTAGTTGGCAGCTTTCTCTAAAAAGTCATTTTTTAGATAAAGGGCATTCAGGAATGGAGTCTATTCAAACTTCAATAAAACACTGGTTGTAACGCCACAAGGGAAATACACAAAATTCAGCAAATGAGGACTACCAGAGGGACTGAAAGCAGCTAAGAAATGAACTAAGACAGAAGGCAACAGATTCCACTGGAGACAGATGAACCAGTACGGAAGGTAAAAACAAACAGACAGGAGAGGGGGACAGGTACGAACTAGGGCTACATGAATGACAAAGCTTGTGGCCAGCTCAGTTTAGGAGAAGAAACTAACTTCCTATGTTATATGTAGCAAAAACAGAAATTGAGTGTCCACGACTTCTCCTCAGCTCACAGAAAATTCCAAAGATGGTTTTTCAAATATGTGTTAACTTAAAGATTGCTGGCTCTGTCTCCATTATACGTAAGTTAAGTCAGAAAGCGGGATGGCTTCTAACAGGAAAGATGCTGACTTCTAGCAGACTCCTGTAGTAGAGATAAATAGGGATATAATAAATGCAGATTGGGAAAGCAACGATTGCACCTGTCTTCTCCATTGCAGTATGTCATTTCTCTTAAACTGTGGAACAAGAAGCAATGCCTCTGATTTCTGAAATACAGTCCAGTCGTGACATGACTTTCTCCTAACACATTTAAACACAGATATTATCAATTGTTTTAAACTTGTGCTCCCGCTGATAGAGAAAGCCTTTCAGTTGTAATTACATATGGATATTTAAGCCAAGAGAAGAAACATATCAGCATAAAGACACTCCGTTTTCTGTACAAACATGTACAGTTAAGGCTGAGGCAAACTGCACCAGCAGTTATTCACACAACTGCTCAAATCTGAGGGGGAAAACCTCTCATGAAGCCATCACTCCCCCACTGATCCCTCAGTCCTGAGCTACTCTGCAAGCCCTGCAAAACTCTGCCCAACGGTGAGCGTGAAAACAAGACTGATAGCTCTACTGGGAACTGGAAAACAGAAAACTCAATAAGGATATTAGTCTGATGGAACAATATGATCTCTACCCCTTGCTAATCTTTCCAGGTTTCATGGGCTACAGAGCAATTGGCTCTCGTTTTCCTCCAACAGATAAGACGCTTATCAATGCCTGTCCCTTTGCAGGCATTTCCACTATGCTATAGGCACCTGCTTTTAGTATATTTTTTTTTCTTTCAAAGATACTCGTATACATCCAGTTGAACTTTCAGCAAATGTTCTTAGCTTCAAAATCTATCTTCATAAAGGGCATTTACACCCAAAAACATTCTACTTTTTTTTCAAATACAGTAACCAGTTTAACAAAAGATGTGCTTAGCTGCCAGCACATTTTGACCATCAGACAGTATTGCCAACAAGATTTCAGGCTGCAGAAGGTTATCTCTAGAGGCATGCAAGTTGAAGAAGCTGCATGGTTATCCAGACAAAGATCCAGAATATGGCTGGAATTCCCTCATATACACACACAACCACTCAGAGGAAAAGCTTTGAAGTTCCAGTTACCAGATTTTCAGTAGTTCAGACAGGCTTTCACAGTAAAAAGTGGTTTTTTCCCCATTGCAGAGAATGTGAACTCCTCTAACGCTGTACACAGACACAGAATTTAAGATAAACCAAAAAGAACTGAGGCAGTCAACAAGAAAAAAATCTAGTGTTTTGAACTTCATCTCTTAGGAAAGGTTTGGGCTACTTTCAAACTTGCAGTAGTAAAACAGTGCAATAATCCTCCTTGGATGTATAAGGCACAGCAGAAGCTTCAGATGTCAGCACTCATTTCCTGCTTCATTGCATAGGCGTTGCTTCATTTCTTGCCATTTATGAAATCTTCCCCCGTACATTTTGATGGTTTCCTCATGAACAAATCTTCAGAGAAGTTGGTAAAAACGTTCTGACTCAAAAAGTCATCCTCATGAAATGTGAAGTTTTAAAGAAAATAAATAAATAAATTTCCATCCAAGAAAATGTCACTTTTGACAGGATCACAGCTATTTCTATTAACTCAAAATACTCCTAAATAAATTCTAAGGACTTTCTGGTTTCAAAAGACTGAAGAATAGAAAATTGGGTTGCTTGCCTTTTATATGTTTGTATCTGGACAGAATTAAGGAAGGCCAAGAGGAGAAGGGAAAGCACCGACTGACTCCCCTCCCCCTCTCACAATGGGTTTCATGCAAATCTTGACAGAAGCTAGAGGAAGAAAATTAATTATTGGTAACTTGTAACACTGAAATTTCCACTATTAACTACTATGAAGGTACAGAATTAAATGCATCCTACTTACTATGCTATCCATTTTCAAAAAATGGGTAAGTATTGGTAAGTCATGTAAAAAGGTAAGCAACAAAGCAAAGACACATACAAATGTTTATATATTTCATTAACAGCACAGAAAAAATTGGAGTGTGAGCTTCTCTACAATGAAAGGACACAGAAGATAACAAGAAGGGGATGCCTGGGTAGAGGGGAAACGCCACTTCCTCCATTTCTCCTTTCCTGTCTGCAAACACACTTAGCAAGCAGCTGTGACGCACCTAAGAGTACAATGGAAGACATAAATGCTGAATTCCAACAGAATTGTTGCACCCCGGGCTAATTCAAAACACATGCACGCTTTGTGGCTCATGACAATGTATGACATTGCCATACACAGGGCAGAGATACTGCTGGTGCTGATTCTTGAGGATGGCCAGCAGAAACTGGCTTTTCTTCATGGCACAACTTGGGATTTTGTGACATGCTGTTCCTGAGTATGCTGTTTCACCACACTAGAATGGCTCAGCCATGTTCAACCTTGATCAATACTAAGAGGGACTTACTACCTGCCTCAGTGTCTTCCACCAGCGCTGCTGCCAAGCCAATACTTTGTGCTCTTTTCCCCCTTCTTCAGAGAAAATTCCTACTTCTTCAAGTGCTTGCTAAGTACTAAAGGAAAACTCAATTGGTCTGAGAATAGAAGGCAAGATAGTATTTGTCCAATGAGGATACTGTTTGAAATTCTCATTTTTGAAAGAGCTCAGCTGCTCTGCACAGTAAGAACTGCAGGGAGCTGAGTCCTCTTGGAAATTTTGCTCCTAATGCTACAGAAATAAACAAACCAAATCCCTGCATATTTTGTGTGCTTTATTTTTATTACTGATTTCATGGGAAATGCATTTAGACCAGATTGGATCTTTTTGTTTTCAATTCCGCCACTTTCTCTTATTATCTAATGGTCTGTGGCACCAGCAGGAATTTTTCCCCTGATGGCTAAATGAGTTGGATGGAGCTTTCTATTTTCAGCTCTCTCTCCTACTATCATCCCAGGGAAACATAG